AACATGTCATAATCCAACAACTCCAAAAGCAATCTGAGAAGAAAGGGTAAATTCAATAATTAACTGTGTATAAAACATAAGTTTTCAAATTCGGCAACTCTTATTAAATTAATTGATACTTAGATGTATTAATAAATACTATATTTTCTTAAGTAAAATACACATGTTTCAAAGATTCAATAAGTCAATAGCAATGTATATTAAAGGAAGATATCTGTTAGAAGTAAGAGTAAATGTAGATATTTTCATAAGTACACTGTGGATAATTCAAAATCATATTAGCAGAACACTTAGAGTAAGTATAATATGCTGGGTTTCAAGGAGTCTGTATGTAATCTGTGAAATTTAAAGTACCTTAAGCAGAAAGAACCAGTAAGATATATTCTGGTATATAATGTGTATGTTTCAAAGGTATGATAATTTTGCAACACATTTATATCAAGAGAACCCTTAAAAAACATAGATAAAATATTATCCTCTGTATAGCCCACATATCAAATAACAAGCATTCAACTAATTCCTCTTAGAAAACCTTTCAAACAGAATAAATGATATATTCCTCCTATATTATTTTAGATTTCTGAAAATCTGAAATTTTTTGAAATTTAGAGATCCTTGTAATAAAGAAAATATGACAATTTCTTGTGTATAATGTGCATATTTAAAAAGGTTCAATAGCATTTCAACTCCTGTGAACTAAAAGAAACCATAGAAAAAAGAAAATACGATTCTTTTGAGAGTTTAATGATCAGCTCAGTAAATTCAGATAACAAAGATAGAATTTAAATGAGATTTTCCTGCCAAAAATGGTAAAGTTTTGATATTCAACAACAAATTTTAAATTAAGAATGTTTGAACAATTTCCTCAAAAATAGAGATTTGAGGTAACAGTGATGTATTTCTACAGACGAAAATACTATGGGCCAAGTATGTGATCAAAGAGGAAGTTTTAAGACAAATGAAAACAGAATGTCACTTTTAGAAAGGGTAAGTTGAAATTTTGGAGATGCATAAAGAGGAAAGATGGCTTATGGAATGTGAAATTCACAGGACATTTAAAAGTAATAAGGACAAGCGGAAACAAGCTCGTGTAAATCGATGGCATGACAGAGAGTGGGAATGATAGTAAAGAATCCCCACCCCCAACAAATATCGATAACAGCTATAAAAGATAGTAAGCCATGTAGAACCATTATCACCCATATTCCGAACAGAAACAACACAATGAAAGTAAAAGGGAGACAAATCTAAGTGTAACAATCCGAGTTATTCCCCTTACATTAACAAAATCTCCGACACATGTTCACTGGCATAGCGTAAATTGACAAAGCAAGAATTGGGCATCCTTCCAGTACTGAAATCCAACCTATGTATTTTATTTAGATAAATACTAGTGTAATTAAAGCAAAAGTAGGTACCTCCGTGAAAATCGCATGACAAGAACAGCCTGAAAGTTGATGACAATTTTTTCATCTTAAATGTATATTTCATTATTAAGAAGAATTACCAAAGTGGTTTTTGATTATTTTTTTGAATTTTTTTACTCATTCTTGGCATGTCCGAAATTTTAGTTAAAAATCATTTTTTTTTTTTTTTTTTTTTGTCAGCGAAAATAAAAAAAACTCATGGCAGCCATTTCTTAAAAAATTTGTGAACTAAGTTAAATTCCTCGTTTAAAACTCGTCCAAAAATCAATTATACGTTTTTCAATATTTATTTGAAGAAAATTAGAAAATTTAAAGTTTATTTATTTTGAAAGAAACTTTTATATACTCTCTTCGCAGAAAAATGTTGTTTAAAATAAAAGGAGCCGATTTTAACATCGTTGGTGATTGACAAGTGTTGAATGATGACATTCATCACATATTGACAACTAACGTGAGATTCGCGTTATCATACGGAAGGACGGAATTGACATTTTCAAGTGAACCAGCTTGTGCATTACCTCGTAATTGTTGAAATTTAAAAACAAAAAACAAAAACTTTCAGCATTCTAATTTTTTTTTATTTTGTTTTTTAGTATGTAGCTTTCACCATAAGTTTGTTGATACTATCTGGAGAAATTATAAATACTATAAGAAAAAAATTAAAATACAAGTGCTGACAGCTGTTTGAGGGCCCCAATAGCCAACCCCCAACTTAAATAAAGTCAATTCAGATCTGTGATGATAAAAAATTGTCTTTTAAAAAAAAAAAAAAAAAAAAAAAAAAAGCAGCGATAAGGAAATTTAAACCAAATTGACGTTGACATATCTGGGTCAAAGGTCAGTCAGCCAACAACAGAACAAGCTCTTCTTATCAGTTTGTAAATCCTACCAATTAAAGGTAAAAGCAATGAGTGAAAAAAGGGGTAATATCTGTAATAAAGGCTTAATATGGATTATTATTTTTCAAACCTATGTTTGAACAATGGCTTGATGATGTGTTTTGTTTTGATTTTTAACACCTCGTGGCCCGGGTGATGACAACAAAACTTAGCAGACGACATTGTCTTAAATTTTTTTTTGTTTTTTTCTAATTAAAAAGGGATACTAAAATACTCCACACGTATTTCGCACGGACAATTTGCAATAATAAAGCCGTAAACAGCGGAGAACAAACCTTAAATACTAAACAGAAACTCAATCCACGTGACTTTTTTTTTTAATTTCATTCATGACACTTCTGGTCTTCCGTAGATTAGAATTACAGTCAATTTTATGGACATAAATTATATTTTTTATATTCTGGTGTTCGTTAGTTTGTAAGAAACTTTAGAAATTATAATCTGAAATTATAGATCTAATTAGTAATATCATTGACTAAATGGTACAAACTTTTCACTAATTTTAGAAGAATTAACAAAATTTAATGTAAAAATAATAAAATATTTTAAGAAATACAAATAATTGTTTTAAAAATTCGAAAAATTTTTTGCTTTAAGACAATATTATCAATATTTATTAAAACAAATAGAAGCAATTAAAAGCATTTGAAATTAAATAATATCTTTGTTTTTAGTGAGTTTTCTATGATACAATTCAGAAATGATTTTCAGGTGGAGTTGCTCGAAATCAAAAAAACAAAAAAACATGATTTGGTTTCCTCAAAGCCTTGTAATATAATTACTAATTTGTCCAAAATTAAAATTATAGAGTTTTGGTAAAATTACTTATGGGGAGGGGGTAATATAAATTACTTGTGGGGAGGGGTAGTATATATATATATATATATATATATATATATATATATATATATATATATATAAAATTGCCATGGCTTTAAAAAAAGGAAAATATGTTTATAATAAGTTCCATCATTTCTGAATAGTTTCTGAAAATTTCATTATACTCCGACAATTATTTTTATTTTTGAAAGAGTTTTCAAATTAATGTCTGTCATGCAGAAACAGAACGCACTGAAATTTTATGTTATTTAAGTAGTTCCGCTGAAACAAAGAGAAACAATCTTTTTTTTAATCAAAAGTTATTAGCATGTTCTAAAGAGAAGGAAAATTTTTTTAAAATAATTAAAAAATTCTTTGTTCTTTCCTCTTAATAATAACATAAACATTTAGACGATTAAATTTTGTTTTCGTTAAGTTTGGCGTCTTTTAGATCATGCTATTGTGCTCATTTTTTAGCGATTTCATGGAGGTACCTAATAGAAATATGCACACACACACACAAGTAAAATACTTTTCTTAGAATGGTGAGAAAATTCACCGCAGTTAAGTAAATGTGAGGTAGGGAGTATAACAAACTTGAGAAAATGCTTCCACAAAATTAAAAAAAAAATGATTCAATATGAAATTCATTTATTACTGAATAAATGGAGAACATTTTAATTAAATCGAAAGTATGCATATTTTTGGAAGCGTCTATTAAATAAATAGCTTTGTGATAATAAAACTGTTCTTTCTTATGGGAAGCTATTCTTTATCACGTGTACTGGTGTTCAATAATAAATCCCTTCACTCACTCCTTTGAAATTCGGGTGACTGAGGAAGGAGAAGAAAAGAAATTCGCAAGCCTATGTGAAATTGTTTTGGACCAATGAACACATTGCTTTCACAAGAAATTAGCCGGTCAGCCAAGAAGAAAAAAGAAAGAAAGTAGCGAAATTCTGGTTGTTATAACATGAAGAAAAACATTAAATTAATGTGAAGAGTGCCTTTAAGAATTCTGATTTATTTTCCTGAAACGTGTCACCGACATTTTTTTTAAAGCAAATCACCTCAAGCAAGGCGAGAGTGCCACTAGCACGCAAGGGGTACAGAGAGTGAGTGTAAGAGTAAAGAGGAGTGTTTGGGAAAAGGATAAAGAAAAGGACAGGGATCAAGGTCAAGGCATCAGAAGATGTCGATTGACATTACATTTGAATATTTGAAGATTATAGCTATCAGGGAAGCAAGTGATAGGAAGGGAGTTCCACTGACGGGAGGTGCGAGATAAGAAGCTGTTGGAGTAGAAGAGATGGCTACATTTAGTCGATTCGGCAGTGAAAGGGTAGGAATGAGATGCCAACCTAGTAGCCCGCTTAAATTCATGCAGTTTGGGAGCCAGTGAAAGTAGTTCGTCAGGGTAGTAGCCATGAAAATACTTATAGAAAAGACAGAGGGAAGCCACAGTACGTATGTGAGAAAGTGACTGTAGACGGGATGCCAGATCAGGACCAATCAAACGTGTAAAATCTTGAAAAAATTCTTTATCTTGTTTTGTTAAAATTTCCCGGTGTGTTTCCTCGTCGTTATCATCTTTCATTAATCTTCTTCGTGGGTATAAATCGACTGTTAATTTTACAAACTAAGCCCCACGCCATTATACAACAACAACAGTTGCAATAACAACAGAACAAATATGTTTTTTTTATTCCGGAAAAAAATTATCAACATCCGGGTTATACTAATTTTAAATCCTGGTTTTCTATTTTATTTTATTCCGTGTTACTGGCTAACATTATTTCTTCTCTTCTCATCTTCGTGTGTAGAACCGAATCGACTAATAACAATTTTGAAAAAAATGCATTGCCTTTTTTTCTTTTTGATTGCTTTTGTGTTTGTGGCTGGTATTCTTCCAATTAAGGTTTCGGCTCAGGCCCCACCATCAGACACGGTTTTAAGATATGAACCCCACCGAAAAGACAACGAGACGAAGCCGGCCCTGTCCTTTAAATCAACTCAACTACTGCACCATTGCCAGCAACGGGAAAAAAATCATCAAAAATTATCAGTAAGTAAAAGAAGAAAAAAAGATAGACTAAAGAAATCTTTTTAAGATGGAAAAAAAAAATAATAATTTAAATTTTCGATGGAGTTTCACAATAATGCATGGGACCCAGAAATAATCATTTTTTTCTCGTATTACAATTCACGAATACACATTTTAATTTCTTTTTTTTTTTTATGAAAGTTAAAAGCGGGTAGGGACATTTTGCAATGTAAATTCATTTCTTCTACGGAGGTTAAAACAAAATATGCTTAGCTTACACCACGTGATTTCAATCGATAGCAATATATGAAAATAAGCATTCTAACGAATTTCAACTATGTTTTTTAAATTTTAAGAAATTTCATGAGATGAACATGTTTTATCTTGGCTTCCATAGGGGGATAAGTTTACAATGAAATTATATTTTTTATACATATGATCTGGCGTGTTTATAAAAAAAAAAAAAAAAAAAAAAAGATTTCATTTAGTCTCAGTGACTATATTGTAAAATTCTACCAAATTTTGTAAATAAGACTTACTTTTGCTTTTGTATTTTTTTGTCGAACTATGACATTGTTTGCCCGTAAAAGATATTTTTTCCACATATGTGGCTAGTCAGGTACTTGTTAAAAAGATTTTTGGATCATTTTCTGTTAATTCACACCAAAATATTAATTTACCCCAAAATAAAAAAAAAAAATATTTATATTTACTAAAGTTCAAATATGGGCGACTCGGGCGTGTTTTTTTTTTTTTTTTTTTTTATGATCTCTACGTTCGCGCTCATCCCTATAAACAAACCAAAAACAGATTTTTCTTTTGCTTTTTTTTTTTTTTTTTTTTTTTTAAATTGTAAACAAATCCTTGTACTTTGAATAAAATCCGCATGTACAAAAAGAGAATAACTGTCTGAATTTTGGCAATTTTTCATTCTGAAGGTTGGAGTTGCTGCAAGGCAAGCCAAAAAAAAAAAAAAAAAACACAATTTTGATAAAAAAATTATAATTTTAAAAGAGTGCCAAAAATTTAATTAAAAAAAAAACAAACTTTGATTTAAAATTTATAATTTCTTGCAGTGAATTATTGCGATAAGTAATTTTACAATACATTATTTGGGCTGAAGACTCGTTTTTTTAGAGTATTAAAACAATTTAAATACTTTTTGCAGTTTAATTGGGGTTTTAATCGCAAGAAAATAATAAAAATTTTGTTCTAAAACAAATTTCAAAAAACATTTACAAGTTCAGAAACCTTTAAGAAAAGCATTCGCGATTATCACCCCCTTACTGAGTAACTTTCATTTTTTTTCTAACAAAACGATTGAATAACTTTTCCTAAACAACGAAAACAAACGTAATACCATGCATGAATAAAAAATATAAATATAATAAATAAAATAAAAGGACGATACTCATGTAATTTGTAAAAGTAATATGATATAATAATAGTCAAGCCTTTATTTATAACTGGAAAATGTTTATCTCTACCACTTGACTAAAAATTATTATTCTGTTCTACATTCAAGCGCAAACCATTGTACGTGATAGATTTCCAGAAATTACAATTTCCCACTACAGCAGTTATAAAATAACTTTGGCATACTTGCCAAGTAAGTAAACAGTCTAAACTCTGCTTTCGAAACAGAGGAACCCTGCTCGTTTCGGGGTGGTTGACTGCTCCTGAACCCGTTTATGCGGGTTCAAAGAGGGAATATTTTTGGCCGAGACTACGGGCTCGGAGATCCCACGTTAAACTCGGCCTTGTGCCATATGTAACCCTCGTGGGGGGTGGCTAAATATTACTTTGGCATACTTATATAAATTATCAGTGATTAAGTTATGAATACCACTAATTAAAATTCTTTCCTCCACGGATTCGCGATACCTAAGGTCTAATTAAAATGAATTAAAAAAACATGAAAAATCTTTCTTGAAGCTTTTATTTAACTTTTAATTTCAGGCTATTAGATTAAATTTAATAAACAATAATTAAAATACTGTGACCTATTTCAAAACTAATCTAAAATGACTAAAATGACTTTTATTCTTTGCTAAAATAGCTAATTAGGCCCTCTTTTTAGTTCGCGTTTATTACAATGTAACATTTAAAAAAATCTTCACAAAAAAATATACTTTACGGAAATTTTATTTGAGGAATATTAGCTGATTTAAAATTTAATTAATCTGATTTGAAACAAATATTACTTTAATTTCAGAATATCACAGAAATGCATTTTTTAAAACGACTGTCGCTGTTTATTTAAAGTGTTTACATGTTGAGAGCTTGAATGGCAGACGCATGTTTTGTTTATCTAATATTTTTCTAAAATGGATATATCTGTAAAAAAGATTAAAGAATATAACATGAACACCTTTTTATATAATTTTTAAGTACTCAGTAATCTTAAAACTTAGAAAAATATTCTCCGTGATCTAATCTTTTATTGAATTTGAGATATTTTAGCTTTAAATATATCGCTCTTATTTTCTGATAATATATATCTGCAAAAATCGGCATTTATACATATACAAAAAAAAAAATTCAAAATTCTTTTTCTCTTGAAGCTTTTATTTTAGTTTTAATTTCAAGCTATTAGATTAAATAAATTTAATAAAGCATATGTAAAACACTGTGACCTATTTCAAAACTAATCTAAATTGACTAAAATGACTTTTATTCTTTGCTAAAATAGCTAATTAGGCCCTCTCAATTCTTTTTAAAAAACTGGGTCACTAATTTCTTTTCGATTTATGATTAGTAAATATAGTTTTTAGTAAAATTAAGTCAAAACCTAAGCAGGGGGCACCTGGGAGTAATGGATAGCGGCTTAGATTGAGGAATTGGAGTGTTCGAATTCCAGTCGAATGCATTGCATTCACTTACGTACTAATACCCTTGGGAAAGGTATGATTCTTCTTCTCTCCCCCCCCACCCAGTTATGGGTAAATAGCAGGACAGACTGGGTGACAACTGATCTAGGAGAAGGACAAATCTGCATTCAAAACCTACTCTCCAGGCTGTGGGTTGTGCAGTAGGCTAATAGCCTACTCACTTAAAAACTGGCTTGTTCCTCAAAGCATAATATCTAACCAGTAAACATCAATACAGAATTTTAAAAGATTTATTTACATTATTCGGACTGTTGTCCTCTTCTTTGTTGCTGGTAAAAAATGGTGGCTGAAGACATTAGGTTTATAATACCCAGAAATTCATACACAGATGTCCTCAAGGACATATGGTACAGTAGATAAAGGCGTTAGTTAGTTCCAGTGACAGGACCCAGAGAGTGTGGTTACCTGGTTAAGGGGATGGAGAACTTGGAGAGGGGAATTAACAGGAGATAACTAATATATGTGTGATCCCATTCTGGTAAAAATGGTTGCTGAAGACATTAGGTTTATAATACCTTCTTTCCCCTCTTTCTATCTTCCCCATGCTCTTTCTCTCTCCCTGATGATCCAAAGATCCACTTTAGCACAGAATTTTCAAAATGCAACTCTCCCCTATCTATCTATCTATCTATCTATCTATCTGTCTGTCTGTGTGTATTGATGTAATGACGTAACAGTTAGATTAATGATCCAAAGTTCTTTAATTTAAAAAAAAAACAGCGAGATCGATAATGAACTAGTGCTTATATATATATATCTATATCTATATATATATATCTGAAAGAAACCTCAACAGAATGCAGAAAGCGCTGGACGGCCGTTTCGTCCTATATTTGGGACTCATCACCAGTGCGCATCCACTACCAAGAATTGAAACTGACAGTTAGGTTATCACGCAAACGTCATACCAACTGTTCCACCGGTGACGAAGAGGTAGCAAACCAGACTCAATATAAACCAGATCTCAATATATGCCGGTCGCTCACATATACCGTGGTAGAACTCAACTGAGTTTCTCTATAAACATAGAACTGTGCCCCCAGGAGCCACGACTACTATCACCAAGTCGCTCAAACTTGAGCATTAGAAGCCAGTTCAAGCAATGTATATATATATATATATATATATATATATATATATATATATATATATATATATATATATATATGTGTGTGTATATATATATATGTATATATAGGTATATATATATATATATATATGTGTGTATATATGTATATGTGTATATATATAGAACATGTATATATAAATGGATATATATATGTATATATAAATATGTATATATAAATATATATATATATAATGTATGTATATATATATATATATATATATATATATATATATATATATATATATATATATATATATATATATGTATATATATATATATATATATATATATATATATATGTATATATATATATATATATATATATATATATATATATATATATATATATATATATATATATATATATATATATATATATATATATATATATATATATATATATATATATATATATATATATATATATATATATATATATATATATATATATATATATATATATATATATACATATATATATATATATATATATATATATATATATACATATATATATATATATATATATATATATATATATATATATACATACATATATATATATATATATATATACATATATATATACTGTATATATATGTATATACATTATTTACATTATTCGGACTATTGTATTTGTCGCCATATTCATTACAACGTTTCGGTTGTTGTACGCTCCGGCCTTCTTCAGGTGGTTGGAATGCCGAACTGAACCCTTTATTTGGCTCACTGGGATAGACTGTTCTAGTTCCACGTGCCATGTTTGGATGTCAGTTATCAGTTATCTCCTGTTAATTTTAACTGTTAATTGAACTCGCACTCCTTTGGGTCTTGTCACTGGATCTAACCAACGCCTTTATCCACTGTGCCATGTGTCCTTGAGGACATCTGGGTATGAATTTCTGGTTATTATAAACTTAATGTCTTCAGCAACCATTTTACCAGTGCTCATATTGTAATTTTTGCTTTTATCATTACATGTTTTTACCAGAGCTCATATTGCAACTTTGTTGTTATCATTGCTTTTCTCTGATCTCCCTTCTCTCTCCATATATGGTCAGCCACGCCTGATTTTTCCTACTTCCTTTCGTGTTACAGCTTTCTGGTGTTCTTTTGAGGGGTCGGCCTGTCTCTCCTTTATATTACTTTCTGCAGCTGCACGGGATAACGTACATACAGTCTTTAGTCATGTTCTCCTCTATGGGGGGTCTTACTCGGGAGAGATATCTGCGAAGTGTCGTCAAGCTTTTGAAGGTTGTCCTGATGTTATATGGACCGCAGATCCTTTGTATTTTCTCTGATAACCCCTTCACATACGGCAGGCAGACTGTTTTCTGAGTGTCGTTGTCCTCCTCCTCCTGTACCTGCCTATCCCAGTTTTGGGGGGCTGCTGCCATGTAACCCAGGGTAGTTCTAGGATACTACTTATACTGACCAATTCTTTATCTAATGTCTCTGGGTCGCCACTTATGACTTTTGCTCGGTGTTGTAAGCAACAGACGATCCCTTTCTTTACGATGTATGGATGGTGGGAGTTGAAATTAAGGTACTGTCCGGTGAATGTCGGTTTACGGTATACGGATGTCTTAAACCCATGCTCTGTTCGAGATAGAACATCCAGGAATGGGGGTGTGTTGTTACTCTCTTTCTCCATTGTGAACTGTATCGAAGGTCTTATTGAGTTCACAAAGTCCAGTAGAACCTGGACATCTTCCTGATGTGGCCAGAGTATGAAGGTGTCATCTACGTACCTTAACCATATAGTTGGCTTTAGAGATACAGATTCTAATGCCATTTCCTCAAAATATTCCATGTATATATTCGCCATTGCTGGTGATAATGGCGAGCCCATTGCTAAGACCTCATCCTGTCGATATATGTGTGATCCCATTCTGGTAAAAATGGTTGCTGAAGACATTAGGTTTATAATACCCAGAAATTCATACTCAGATGTCCTCAAGAACACATGGCACAGTGGATAAAGGCGTTGTTTAGATCCAGTGACAGGACCCAAAGAGTTAAGGCAGTGGCGAATTTACAGATGGAAAATTAACAGGAGATAACTGATAACTGACATCCATCAAACATATAACAGTCTACCCCAGTGAGCGAAATAAAGGGTTCAGTTCGACAATCCAACCACCTGAAGAAGTACAACGACCGAAACGTTGTAATGAATATGGCGACAAAGATGAGGAGAATAGTCCGAATAATGTAAATAATATATACCTCGTCTCAGAAAAAAATATATATATATGTGTGTGTTTGTGTATGTGTGCGTGTGTTTCGTACTTATTATAAAACGCAGATTGTGTGTGTGTGTGTGTGTCTGTACGTTTATATATTGGATTGAATTTCCTACATTTTTCAACCGATTTCAACAAAACTTCACAGGACTATGTAAAATTACCTTGCAGTGGTTCTGACAGCGCCAAAAATTGGAAAAACAATTGTTTTTGTATGAAATCAATTTGAAAACACGATTAAGAGGCATTAATGAAAGAGGGACAACTCATATCGAGTTATACTTATTAATATCGAGTTATCAAGTTACACTTATTATAAAACCCAGGTTGGTTGTGTGTGTGCGTGTTCATTTATATATGGGATCAAATTTCCTACATTTTTCAACCGATTTCAACAAAACTTCACTTTTTTTGGCAGGTAGTGTTTCTTATTGTCTTGCACATTTTTTTTCTTTATTTTTACATTCAGAATGCTTTAAAAATTCCATTTACAAAACAATTGTTTATAATAAAATTCTATTCAATCAGTAGACTCATAACGATTGAAAACAATGTTTTTGTTTGAGTTTGACCAATTCGTAAAAAAAAAAAAAAATAAAAACTAATAAGACATGCGTGTCCGTCAACCTTAAACAATAAGCTTTGTCAATTTTATTTTTCAGTCTTTATGATGGTCGATACTTGATCTATCTCTTATTGTTACATCCCCGGGCAACGCCAGGCTCTACTGCTATATATATATATATATATATATATATATATATATATATATATATATATATATATATATATATATATATATATATTCACACATACTGAATAGTGCATAAATGTTTCTTGGCATGTCTCAGAAATTGTGAATATTATCATTCGTATTATATTTTCGAATTCCTTCTTTCTTTGTCCCCCACCCCGCAATTAAAAGAACAATAAATTGTGTGCATCTAATTCATTGTTACTTTTATTTTTCTCATTAATATAACTTTTTCTTTTCCAGAATGTCAATGGCAGCAACCTTCAATTTCACTTTTCAGATTGTGGGAATAACACTTCAATTATTAAGTTTTTGAATTTGGAAGTTTGCCCTGATCCTGTTTTGACCCCAGGACAGATCGCTATAACTTTTAAAATTCAATTTAAGAAGACAATTGTTGATAAGCTTCGTGTAAGTATTCAATTTGTTTTTGTGAAAATGTTACTGCCAAATAGATAAATGCCATTTATATTAAATTATGATTGAAATTACTTTCTCTCAGATTTCAATGATTTTAAGTAAACAATATGATATAAAAATAGGAAAAGAGTTGTCAGTTTTCGACTCGGTATCTCAATAATTTACTCCTGTCGTAATGTTAACTCCAATAAAATCAAATTGGTAGTTGATCTTGAAAATTACATTTAATCTGTTGTTAACTGGGGCAAGTAATGGCTTGTTAATTTTAATGCCACCGAAACAAATTTTCTCTTTTAATCGTCTTAGAGAAACTTTTTTGCTAATCTCCAGGAGAGTGACTCATTGTACCTTCGGTTTAGTTTTGTTTGTCCAGATGGACCACCGGTGACTACCATCAGAGGACCCCTAACGTCGCCGTCGGCGGCCCGCCAGCGGGCCACGAGCAGCTTGTGTGTAGGGGTAGCAACATGGAAAATTTCTGTCCTCAAATTAATATTTGACAAAGCTTCATTTAAGAAATTTAGACAAAATAATACATGCTTGAGAAATAAAATGAAAGAAATATTAGTTAAACGAGTAATAATACTTGCAAATATATCAGTACTTGAAACAAGCTCTTAGCTGTTACTACTTTATGTCAAAACAAGATATATAATAGAAATTATATATATATATATATATGATCGAAATAAAAGTATAAAATTTAATATTACAAGACATATTAAAAAGTATTAAATAATAAAAAAAAAAAAAAACTCAACAACAAGGGGGGGGGAGCAACCGGTTTCGCTCCCGCTCGACAGCCTTCCACGGGAGATTGAAAATTAAAACAGAGAAATGTACATGTTTTTTTTATTATTTAATACTTTTTAATATGTCTTGTAATATTAAATTTTATACTTTTATTTCGATCATTAAATTTTGTACCTACAAAAATATCTTTAATATATATATATATATATATATATATATATATATATATATATATATATATAAACTTGTTTTATATTTATGGTTATAATTAATCATCTTAAGGGATAGAGTGCATGTCAATATAAAAGTGACCACTGAGGTCAAAATCAAGAAGTGTCAGTCTGTTTCAAGCTTGACTGCAATTTTCAGGCCTGAATATTCCGTTTAAACACTGTTGCTTCTTGGTGATAACCTCAAACTCTACTTATATATGTTTTTGTATATCTTATAGTCAACAGAAAACGATGCGCAAGGGAGATAACTTCATGTATATTTACTGCTAATTGCATACTTGTTTCTCTTGAGGTATCTGTCCTTCAGCAAAAATGTTATGACAGTAATCTTCAGGTTATATACGTTGGAATTTCGATCGAACCCTTTATTTAGTCCAGGGGGTTAGATCTCAAAGGACACATAGCCCAGTGGATAAAAGCGTTGGTTGAAGTAATCCAGTGACTTGACCTTGTGAGTGACCAAAGCAGAGGTAAACAAAAACTTGTAGAGTTGATTTAAATAACTGAAACTGGGATATCCAGAAGAGGCATGGCACGTGGAATTAGAACAATCTACCCCCCCCCCATGAACTAAATAAAGTGTTCGGTTTGAAATTCCAACGTATGTCTCCTAAAGTAGGCCGGGGTGTTCAATGGACGAAATGTTGTGAATATGGCAGTAAAGATGAGGACAGCAGTCTGAACAATGTAAATAGTGTAAATATTTTTTTTCTTTTATCTTTTTTTTTTAGGCTGATGTAAAACTGACAAAGAAAGTTGCTGGAGTACACGTTAAAATTCCGTGTATTGCATCAGTTGGCTCTTGTGTTTATGACAACATCTGTAATAAGCTGGCATTAATAAAACATTGTCCCAAGCCACTTGTGGAACATGGCTTCAATTGCAAATGCCCATTTAAACAAGTAAGTTTGAAGGAATTTGCCGTGTGAGTGATATACAACATCTGTCCCAAATGTATGCAACCATCTTGATTTGATAGATTGATTTGTTTTTATTTTTGTTTTTACAGCTGATCAATCCCCCGAGAGTTATTTAAAGCCAAAAGATATTTCGGATTATAGGAGGTCGGGTACAGTGGTCAGTGTTCCTAAGCTGTCCGCTACCTAAGTAATGACTGGAGCTATTTTGAATAGTTTGATTCAACGTGGCAATCAATGAATCAATCTACTATGGATTTACTCACTTGGCAGTAAGATGTCGCTGTGTGAGTTTGTGTACTGTGTAACAGATACATCTACAGTTTTTCATCCATGAAGTTTTGGCAAAATATCACCCATGAAATTCAGCACCCCCCCTCTAAAGTGCAGATTGGCCCCGAGTGTCACTTTTTATAAAAGTAAAATCACTGTTAGCAGATTTCAGACTATGGATAAGATTAGAAAAAAAATAATGTGGCAATGTTGCAGGAAATTTTCATTCAAATTAAATGACAAAATAATTTCCAGACATGACGTGTGTGTGTATTATGTATGTATGTATGTATGTATGTATGTATGTATGTATGTATGTATGTATGTCCATATATACTTTATAATGTGTACCTGTTTATATATATATATATATATATATATATATATATATATATATATATAGATAGATAGATAGAAAATATTAGTGATCAATATATATATATTTCCAAAAGGAAGAGCTCTATGTTACAGACAGAGCAAGAATAGCAAGCATTTAGTGTTCGAGCCTTATATATATATAGTGTCATCCACAGACAGACTGTTTCGCTGTATCACAGCTCATCAGTGTGGCTAGACATCCGGTTACCTCTAACTAGGATCGAAACCCGGCTGAATTGGCGTCAGTCAGAGATTTTACCCCTAAGCCGTTGGCACACGACCGGGTGTAACAGCAAACTTGTCCAAATCGTTTAACAACATGGGATAATTGTAGACTGTTCTAGTTCCACGTGCCATGTTTAATGCATGTCAGTTATCCGTTATCTCCTGTTTAGTTATCCCCTTTATCCACTGTGCCATGTGTCCTTGAGACCTCAAGGACACATGACACAGTGAATAAAGGCGTTGGTTAGATCCAGTGACAGGACCCAAAGAGTGTGAGCTCAATATCTGGTTAAGGCAGTGGAGAACTTGGAGAGGGAAATTAACAGGAGATAACTGACATCCATTAAAACATGGCACGTGGAACTAGAACAGTCTACCCCAGTGAGCGAAATAAAGGGTTCAGTTCAACATTCTAACCACCCGAAGAAGGCCGGAGAGTACAACGGCCGAAACGTTGTAATAAATATGGCGACAAAGATGAGAACAATAGCCCGAATAATGTGAATAATTTAATTATGCTGGATCTAAAATTTTCTTTTTTTTATTGAAAAAAAAATATGTTTATCCTGTTTTAGATGAAATTATCTTTCAGTTGTTTTTCCAATTAATTTCATATATTTTTCTTATGTAATTTCGTTGTTCTAATTTTTCTGCAGGGCATCATTTCAATTCCGTGGCTCAAATTCAGTATTTCAAGAAACATTGTACCTTCTGGTCAATATGGTCTCCATTTACAGCTGTATCACATGAATGCTCTTGCTGGTTGCTTTAAACTAAACCTTAGTTTCAGCAAGGTAAGGGAATTTTTTTATCAATCTCACTTCAAATCAAAAAGTGTGGATTTTAATACCTGGCTATCGACTACATTATACGCTAATATCATCATGTCCAATTAGCACAGTTCGCAGATCAACCGTTTTTTTTTCTCAATAGGCGTCAATCAATTTTTAACTCTCCCAGGTCCCGTCTATATGCTTGTAATATGTGTCCCTCTAGCAGGGCTCTAAAGTTACTCATCACTTGAGGTCTGTTCACTCGTCCCCACCCACAGACCGATCAGATGCGTGGTCGTTCACCCTAACTTATCTAATAAACCGAAAAGCGAAAAGAGAGACAACCCTACACTATCTATACCATTTTAAGTTCAATTTGGGACTAATCAAATTCATTTTGGGGATAAGCAAGCTCAAAATGAGATGGCCAAGTTTAAAATGAAATGGCCAAGTTTAAAATGAAATGGCCAAGTTTAAAATGAAATGGCCAAGTTTAAAATAAAATGGCCAAGTTTAAAATGAAATAGCCAAGTTCAAAATGGAATGGCCAAGTTCAAAATGGAATAGACAATTTCAAAATAGAATGGCCAGGTTCAAAATGAAATAGCCAAGTTCAGAATGGAATATCCAAGTTTAAAATGAAATAGCCAAGTTTAAAATGAAATAGCCAATTTCAAAATGGAAAAGCCAAGTTCAAAATGAAATAGCCAATTTCAAAATGGAAAAGCCAAGTTCAAAATGAAATGGTTAATTCAGAATGGAATAGCCAAGTTCAAAATGGGACATAGCAAATTCCAAATGGGCCAGTCAAATTCAAAATAGAATAGTCAAGTTCATTTTGGGACTGAGCAATTATTTTTCTAAAAAGACTTTAAAATTGAATATTATCATGATAAAAAAAAAAATAATGTTCGGTTAAACTTTATTATTGAAATGTTTTATCTTCTCGGGGCAATCAATAAATCAAGAAAATTCATAAAACGTGTGTTTTTTGGATGCAACTTTCGGCGCTTAAAATCTCTCACTATATCTTTTTTCAAACTCTGTTTTGATATCTACATTCAGTATTTTCTTGCTACTTTCTCTTAGGACTTTCGAGATTTGCGCTGTTGTCCCCCAAATCATTTCACTTTGATTAACTCTCTTTTATTCTCTCTTTTTTAACACTAATATACAGTCTATCCACCTCTTCTCTCTGATTGTCTTACCAATGAAAGTGCCAGAAACTTTGATAAAAATAAATCCGTTCAAGAGTAGCCTCTTCTAAGGAATTGATAGTATAATCTACGCAATGCTGCGCTTCGATTTTTAATTATCTGATTTACCGCCCACTTGATTTTTTAATCCATTATATTTGTTTATTGAAACGCGCAGATAAATTCGAAACATTTTTCCATAATGAATCTGCTTACACTCAATTGAAATTTGCTTATTTCATTATGAATTTGCTTCGTTCCAAATCAAACTTGCTTATTTCATTTTAAATTTGCTACGTCCCATTCTGAACTTGGCTATTTCATTCTGAATTTGCTTAGTCGCAAAATGACATTGATTAGTGCCAAATTGAACTTGAAATGGTATAGTTACAAGCAAAAGAATTTCTATTAGCAAGATGCTAAAGAAATCAACTCGAGAGAATGAAAAATACAGGGAAACCAAAAAGTGTCCAACCTGTAACCTGATTTGTTGTGGCCCCGACTCGATAAAACAGGAAAACACGCTAATACAGTTTCAGAATAGTCAATGGACTAAAGTCCGTTTGTTCTTACTTCTGTAATGAATATCCTTTTTCTATTCTTTTTTTTCTTTCCTCCGGCTTGGTTGAACTGGGAATCCTGTCGGACACTATTTAATATAACATCATCAAACCAGGGTCAAATACTTGGTCACGGTTACCAAATAATGTCGCCGCCACCCGGTCCTCAGGTTATTAGGACGACGCTTTAACCACAGACTGAGTCTGTGCTAGTCCACGCTGATGCTTATCCAAGCTGGTTGTTGGTCGCTGGCTGCTTAGATTCACACCGTCTCTGCCCACGCTGTGTTCTTGATCTCAAAGCTGTAGAAGATTGAATGTCGTCGTAGTCTCGTAGCACTTGTCCAAGCCGTGGGCCGGGGCTATATTAAGGAAAAAACAACTTCACGATGAAAAAATAAATAAAATGGGGTTAATCTTTAATTGGTTTATATAGCTCTTGGTACAACAAAAATGAATCCTTCTCGCATCAATCTCTCTAGTGACACTGAGCATCATCTGAAATTCTCGAAGGCTGAGTTCAATGTCTTGGAATCTGGAATTTTGGTTGGCACCTGGCGTCGAACTCAGAAGTACTCAGCACGGGATCTCAGCCCCAAATCTATCAGCTCCCCAAAGTCATCTGCTGATATGCACTTTGGCCCAAAACTGGTCTGGGGCCAAAGCGTTCTTGAGATTCGTTGATTCTTTAATTTTCACATTAATTCTAATAAGGGCTTACTTTTTTTCCTTATCTTCGCTTTGTCAATCAACTTTCCAAATTTGAAAAATTATCCACCTTCTTTGGGAGTAATCACAATGATTGCTTTTTCCTTAACACCAACCAGCTTCATTTCCCATCTCTCACCGCTACTCTGCACAGACATGACCCTTCGTCCTTCCTTCTCAATATTCTAACTCTGCCCACTTCTCAGGGCGCATGGCTGTATTTGTGACAAATCTTTCTTTTTAAAATGCACTGGAGAAGAGGTGTGGTTTATTCTCCTCGTTAATTTCAATTTTCTGACTCCTTTCGCACAAACCAGAACACTTTCCGGGTACGACATTATTAATCTCCATAACCTCAACCCTAAGAAAAAGGGTTCGATGCTTTTTTTAATTTTCGGAATATGATCCTCATCTGCTTCTCTTCCCTTTAATAATATGTTTTAGTAATTTTTCCGAAACGAGATAAACTTATTTCCTAGCCTGCTTTTGTCAATGAAAATATACACTCTCTGTTTTCTATTCCTGGTCCGGTCGCCATCTCATCAGAGACACAGGCCAAATCACCTGCCTGTTATGATGGATAGATTTCAATTTCGCTGATAAAAATATAATTCTCATCTGCTTTTCGGTTCGCTAGTGACAGGTGTTTTCCTAATTTCCCAAGAAAAACATAAAATTGTTCCCGAATTCTGTTTTCGACCGCATACCAGGCTCTCGATAGATATGAAAAATTGACTTTAGAAGAAAAATCCAGGCAGTTAAGTCCTTACTCTCTCTTTTTCTCCCCCTCTCTTTCTCTTCCAGCTTATATTTCATTTTGGTCTTAACCCTTTTCTTTTCCTGCTTAGAATTAATCTGTAACCACCTCACCGTCTCAGTGTCATATATATATATATATATATATATATATATAAAACTTATGATAATCTCTCATACATAAAACCAACCATAACTATCACTTTGTTGTGCAATAATTCATACAATCTTTAGCCAGTTTATACTGTCCACTTTGATGATACAGGCTTTTATACACCCTCGGTTAATTCAAGATGTTAGAATGAGTTATATATATATATATATATATATATATATTAGAATGAGTTGTGTATATATATATATATATATATATATATATATATATATATATATATATATATTAGGTTTTATGTGTTTTTATTTATATACACAATACAGACAGAAGGTTTGGGGCTGCCCTGCATTTCTTTAGAAAACACCTTAAAATGTAATATTTCTGTATTTTTTCTTTAAAATATACAAAATGTCAGTAGCAACTGCATATTTGCTTTGATTTTGACAAAAAACTTAGCTATAAAAAATATCATACAACAACACCATATTTTGTTTTATGCAATAAAACCACCACTTGCCTTAATTATTGCTTTAAAAATTCTTGGCATTCTTTCCAACCGTTTTTGGGAAAAAATTAGATGGCAGCCCTTTAGAAGTATTCGGAAAAGGTTCACTCTCATTTGTTGGGTATTTTCTTTGAACTCTCCCATCCAATTCATTCAATACTAAGTCTCAATGACTCAAGGTAATTTGACATAACTTAGTAGAGTGTTTTGGATCATTGACTTCTTGAAAGGTGAATGTTTTTTCCAGTTATGCATAAACCAGATAGTATAACGTCTTTGTAAAATCGAACGATATTGTTCTTTTTTCATGATTCCCTTGAGCTGAATGAAATCTCCAGCCCCAACACACTTCCAAAACACCCCCAGGTCATAACAGACCCACCAGCATTTTTACCTGTTGGAACTATATATTTGCTATTCAGTCATTCTCCTGGTTTTCTTATCACATTCACTCTCCTCTTACTACCCAAAATTTCAAATTGGAACTGATCTGTCCACAATATATGTTTGCCACTCTTTCAATGTCCAGTTCTTACGCTTTCTTGCCCATAACAGTCTTTACTTTAATCACATTCCATAATAAGAATTTCTTGATGGCTATGCACCCCAATGCTCTAATTCGTTTTTTAACAACTGAGACGGTTGCTGGTTGCCAATGAAAGGAATTCATCTGTCAGTTCTGAAGGAGTTTTCCTTCGATTTCTTTTGCTCTCAATAATCAAGTGTTTCCCATCAGCAGCTGTTGTAACTTCAGCTCATTTTCTGTCAACATTTATACCAGTTTATAAATGCCTTTGTAATAAATATTGCACCCCATGTCTAGAAATCTTCAACTTCTTGGCAATTTGTATTTGAGAGTAGCCTTCTATGAATAAAATTTCAATTTGTGTCCCCATCTCAACGCTTAGCTGCCTTGATTTTGCAATTTTGTGCTAATTACTTCAAAATTAACAAATAAATAAAAAAGACAATGAAAGTACTGTTGTAATGGCACCGTCTTTTTTGCTTTAAACAGAGACAGCGACATATGTTTTGTTTATAACATTAGTCAGTGCCGAGTTAAATGGTGGAGTAATGGATAGCGGCTTGGATTAAGGAATCGGAGAGACGAGTTTGATTTCCAGCTGAATCCATTACATTTGCTTAGTGTTAATATCCTTGGGAAAGGTATGAATCCTCTTTTCCCCCCAGTTATGGATAAATATCAGAAAAGACCGGGTTCTATAGCTTTGGATGGCAACAGGTCTACCGCAGAAAGAAATGACAAACTACTGTTGAAAGTATTTACATTAGTCGGACTATTGTCCTCATCTTTGTCGCCATATTTGTCACAACGTCTCGGCCGTTGTACGTTCCGGTCTTCTTCAGGTGGTTGGAATTTCGAACTGAACCCTTTATTTCGATCACTGGGGTAGGCTGTTCTAGTTCCACGTGCCATGGAGAAGGCCGGAGCGTACAACGGCCGAAACGTTGTGACAAATATGGCGACAAAGATGAGGACAATAGTCCGACTAATGTAAATACTGTACATAATACCTCATCTCAGAAATATAGACAGACTACTGTTGAAAGATACGTGATCGCCAAAGCGTGTATCACGCATGGCACATAACTGATTCACTGATTAACATTTAAATTAGTTGAAGATTTTGTTAATCTCAAAAGGTCTACTAAGGGATGATTCATGGAATTATAAATTAAACTGCACCTATACTCGAAATTAAAATAACTGATCCAACGTGCAACTTTCGGATAATAAGTGTGACATTCCTGTAATTATTGAACAATATAGTTCATGTCACATTGACGGAAAACCAACCAATACAAAAGCATTCTCCTATTACTATATTTGTAGAAAAACGCACAACCTTAAAATTTAAAATTCAAACTGAGCGTTGCGACTGCACGTTCCAAAACAATAACACATTTCTCATAGCATTTTTTCGGATTACATCTCTATTTTCGTTGTCCTCTTATTACCGAGAAGTAAAAAACAAGAACAAATCTATTTCCATACCTGAGGATGTCTGTAGGAACAGACGAAACTTGTAAAAACTAAAAAAGACCTTATGCAACTGGAATTTATAAACAGGGATCATATCATTCATATACAGGTTCGGGGTTAGTGTACCTTATTGAAATTGTTTGCGAAGATGTATTCTCGCCATTTAAATCATTAACCTCTGTATTTGTTTTTTGTGTGAATGATTCATGTAATTATAAATATATATATATATACGTATGTATATATATATATATAATATATATATGTATATATATATATATATGTGTGTGTGTGTGTGTGTGTGCATGTATGTGTATTTATACAGGAAGCGTTAAGTATTTCTGAATGCATCTTTAGCATGCTATAAATGGAGTGTTGCATGGCATACGACAATTTTAACAATGTCATTTCCCTTTCATATGTTTAGAGAGCATTAACATGACAGCTTTGAATCTAACACAAGAAATGAAAAGCATTTTGCTTGTGCTCCTAGCCACCACCAATTGACTCAGAAATAGCAAACTACTTGAAAGTGGCCCGCTGAACAGAAAGAAAAGAATAAGTATCTTTATATATTCAGCGACACTATTCACAGTGATGTACATCAGATTTGCTTTATTTTTCATGATCATGGAGGCTGTAAGCAATCAGTTAAATATAATTCCATATCACTTCTTCCCACAATGCCTCAGGGTCAGTGTCACCATATACATCATGGTGTTGGACACGGTGGACAAGCTGTGGATTGATATAATGGTTCTTTGTGTTCCAGGCAAAATCCACTTCATCCTGTATGTCATAAATATATTTATGATTATATATTAGTTGGTTTTGACGGATTATTTCAATCAAGTTTTGTATCTGAAGACAGAATTAATTTTTGCCTGATAGAAATGATGTATAGCATAAAAAGTTGCTTTTGTAAAATTTAAAAATAACAACTAAATCAATTATTTTTTTTCTTTCATTTCAGCCTTAAATCATTTTCTGTTGCAAGGAACAAGTCCGTGTTGCTGCTGATGATGATTTGTTTAGCAGAAATCTTTCTATAATTTTGTGAAATGTTATTAAATAAAAAAAACTCCTGAGTGTTTTTCTTTTACATCCTTTCTCACTTGTATAATTCACATTTGGATATAAATTTCTTTGTTCAAGTTTTGAATTTTATATTTTTTATTTCTTAATTCTTAATTTATAGTTATATTCATTCATTGTTATTCTGGTATTATTCTCTTATTCCTCTTATTTCATTCTTATTCTGTTATTCCAGTATTCCTATTAATTTTTTTTTATCTTGTGTTACTTTAATCCTCTTATTTTATTCTTATCCTTTTATTCCTTCATTCCTCTTATTTTATTCCAATCCTTTATTCTTTTATTACATTCAAATCCCTTATTTAATTATTCCTCTTATTTTATTCTTATTCTTTTATTCCTTTATTCCTCTTATTTATTCTAATCCTTTATTCTTTTATTATATTTAAATCCCTTATTTCTTTATTACTCTTATTTTTTGTTATTATTTTATTCCTTTATTCCTCTTATTTTATCCTAATCTTTTATTCTTTTATTCCATTCAAATCCCTTATTTCTTTATTCCTCTTATTTTGTTTTAATCATTATTATAAAATAGTGATTCGTTTTTTTTGGATACACCAAATTCTTTAAATAAATATTTCGTATCGTGGAAGTGCAAGAGTTGCTGACCAGTCAAGAAATGTGGAAATACATCTTGTCCCATATCAGTAACCGGTTGCTGTAATAAGATAATGCCATTCAGTAAAATTTCTAGCTCAAAAAAAAAAAACTCACTTTTGTTCGAATGTGATATTCAAACAAGTCATTTGCTTACTGTTGTGTTGTACAGTAGAATCTGCTTTAAAGCTGTGTAAATCTCAAAGAGATTTCTAACATTTCTCGAATTTAGCATAGCAAGAGAACACTTGCATCTATATAATAGATCTGTGTATTTAAACTGTGTTACCATACAGTGTTGATTTCTATATCCATACCATCTATATCCATACTATAAACTATATCTATAAACTCTCTATTTCTGATATTGCTAATTTTAAACATATTTATCGGTGAAATTAAACTTACAAACAGAACAAAACAAGAACTTTGGTCGGTTTATCCAAACTTTTGATAGAATAAAAGATCAAACAGATCGTTTAATCTTTTATTTATTTTTTCAGTTTTCAAATATGATCATGTATATTGGCATCAAAATTTTGGATAAACCATCCAAAGTTCTTGTTTTGTTTCGTCTGACCAAGTACTTTTTACCATCTCCATCATTATCAATAACTGAACGTTGTCAGTACAATTAAGATGATTTTAATATTAATTAACCTAATAGGGGTTGATATATTGTAAAATCCACCAAACTAACCCTCTTTGCCCTATCAGAACATTTACTGTATTTGTTTATAGAAGTTCATCCAAGAAGCTATTAATACATATGAATACTATGGAGCAGAAAGCATTTCTTGATTCTAGAATCAAGAATTAATTTAGTTTTTTGCTGTTTACTTTGTCACATTTTTTTGCCTTTAATCTTCATATTTTTAATGTTTTTATTCCTATTGACTTATGATGAAGCTATTGACATCTTGACATGTAGATTTCTATCGGCAACAAACAAACAGACATTTCTTTTTATATAGATACTTCCAAAAATTTTGAAATCTTATCCTAATTGTATACAATTTATCGTCTATTATTTTATTCTCAAAAACGTACCATATTGATGTTATTTATCCTAAAAGATTTACCATTATTGCGATGAAATTGAAACACGCTCCAAAAACCAAAATTTTAAGTCGGAGCCAAACAACGACTATATATTCTTTAATTCAAATAAACTCAAGACAGACCAACTTAGATGTCAACGCCGGAACGCTGAAAGTTGCGACACAAACCTGCCTTCACCGACGCGCTTAGAGAAAGAAACGTCACTGACAACGACAGCCATCAGCAATGTCTATTTCTCTTCTAATTTCACCATTCTCTCTGCCTGTTGCAGATAAAAGTTACTAGATTTGTACGTACATAAATAAATTAATTTGCGTTTGCCTAGGCGGAGAAGGAATTAACAACGACAACAACAACAAGGTTCTGTCTTCCAGGTTAGCCATTTCCGCCTCCGCAACTACCTTGAATAAATGTCTTGAATATTAATGACCTTGAATAATCATTCGACTCTCGCGTAATTACTTAGCTCTGATTGGTTCTTTTATGATTGATTAATTGTTGCTTGATCTTGTAACTCGTCGTTTAATCGTTATTTGCAGACAACTTTCTTCTTTTCGTTCGGCACTTCTCGTATATTTAAACTACTCATTGATTTTGAGCGTCAAGTTACCGTGCATTTCAAAGAAGAACATCCGACGTGGGGATTGAGGAAATGTCTAGAAAATCTCGCTGATTTTTTCAGTCATCAGTTTTCAACGGTTGTCTCACGTCTTTCTGAATTTACGGTTTTTTTTTTTTACTTTACACATCATCATCATCTTGCGGCCTCAGCCGAGATTGAACTCATTACACCTTTCCAGTATTCCTTATCTTCAATACTTTGATGGGTGTAGTTCATAATCTTGTCAAATAGCTGAATTCTTGATGCTTCGCTAGGGCTATCAAGGGTGTTATTTATCGTGACACCATCACTAAATGGATTGCCAACCAAGGCTCAGAGAGACTCCATTCACCCTCATCTAAGATCTTTGAAGGGACGAATACAGAGACCTGGTGCACCGAATGCCACAAGGTTCCCAAACGACCCTCCGCAGGTTTTGAATTCAGAGTTGTCCTTCTCCTATACCAGTTGCCATCCAAGGCTATAGAACCCAGTCTGTCCTGCTATTTTACCCATAGCTAGAGGGAGAGGAAGAGGATTCATACCTTTCCCAAGGGTATTAGCACGTAAGTAATGGATTCGACTAGAATTCGAACTCGGCGATTCCTCAATCCAAGCCGCTATCCATTACTCCACCGTGCTGGACACTCTAGGTCCCACCCGTTTACTATTCAAAGAGTTAAATGCAGCCGACACTGCTACTCCGATATTTTCTTTTCTCACGATTCCCGCCTATGGAAATCCTTCTGTTTATTTGCTTCCCTGATAACTACGATAACTGCAATCTTCAAAAATTTAAATGCAACTATCTTCTATCTTCTTTAATAGCGTTCATCTTTGTATTTGCTTTAATCCACCCTATACTCAGACTTGTCTCTCACTTTCACTTACTGTAACCCTCTGCGTACTAATGGCATTGCCACCTTGCTTGGGGTGACATGATTAACAAAAAAAAAAAAAAGAAAAAAAAAAAAGAAGCTTGCTAACCTTTACATCGCGTCGAAGTGCCTCTATTTCCTTTTATGTAATGTTATATGAAATTTTTCCTACATTATATATTCATTACGTTAAAATAATGATGTTCTTGCTGTTTTCTCATCCTCAAAAACAAATAAAAAAAAGATTTTTTAAGATATTCGTGTATTACTACAGGAGGTATTTTATTACGTCTGAATCGACTTACATACAGCAAGGTGGTTGGAACAGAACGTAACTCGGGGACTAGATGCATATCCAGTAAAGATCACACCAATATTTACATTTTTTATTGATTTTTATCTTAACATTTTAGCCGATCTATTCACTGTCAGTGACATTTCAGTTATTCGGAACAAAGCAGTTTCTTCAGTAGATTCTAACTAATTCCCTTTAACACGGGAACTTGCTATGTCAAGTAGCAACACCTAATATCCACAAAATCCATTCTAACCAGACAAATTTCCGTCTAATTAATACTTTTAATTCTTTCTTTTACTGTGATGGTATTCCACCCTGTAGGGTGGAGTAATGGATGGCGGCTCAGATTCAGGAATCGGGGAACTGAGTTCGAATTCCAGTCAAATCCATTACATTCACTTACGTGCTAACACGCTTGGGAAAGGTATGAATCCTCTTCTTCTCCCCACAAACTATGGGTAAATAGCAAGATAGATAGCCTTGGGTGGCAACTGGTCTACCACAAAAAGAAATGGCAACCTACTGCGGGATAAAAATCTGTCTCGTCAGTCATGTATCGAAAGAACATGATCGCCTAAGCGTGTATCCCGCATGACACATAACTGAATGACTCACTGATTGTAATTAGTAGAAGTAGATATAATAGTTATTTGAGGTTCTAACGTGTCGTACTTTCATTTCCTTGTACACACATTATTATTATTTTCCATATTCTCAGTATCTACCCTTTCTTTTTCGCTATGATGGCCTTCCACGTTGCATTGTTGGCAGTTAGTAGTAGTAGATGTAATATGAGGTTCTAAAGAGTACTGAACTGTTACATGATATCTGTCCTCGTGTATGGCAGCCAATACTGGACAATTTCCTCAAAGATGAAGAAGAGACCCGAGGCAACAGAAATGTGCTTGTACAGAAGGATGCTGAGGATACCATGGGTCGAATATGAGCAACGTCTAGATTTTAGAGAGAATGGAAACAAAGAGGAAACTTATACTTAACATCAGGAAGAGGCAGCTGAAATTTCTGGGACACGTAATGAGGAAGGAGGCCTAGGAAAATCTGATACTCACAGGACGGAAGGGGGCAGCGAAAAGAAGTGCGTTACACACTTGATGGGCTTTAGAAAATGGATGTTAGAACAAGGTTTGAGAGAAATAACAAAAATACAGAGGGACAGGATAAGGTGCAGGGCCATGATCGCCTACGTCCTGAAGGCACATAAAAGAAGAATTGGAATTATCAGCAGCTGGGCGAAATTTTAATTTTGGCGGGACGTGTTGTCATTGGTTGATTTTTTTTAATACCTTCACCGACCAACATAAGCTATGTCCGGGTTCTGTCAGTTACCGAGGATAGGAACAATAGAAGGAAGGGAAAGGAGGTATGTGTATAAGAGAGAGAGAGAGAGAGAGAGAGAGAGAGTTTTTTCTTTCTTACTCTCTTAG